GATGGGGCTAGAGGGGTCGGTTTGGTCACTTGTCATTGGGGAGAGGATTGAAGTTGCGTCTGTTGTGATAAATAGGGGAGCAAAATTTGTAGGGAAATTTAGTGGAAATGTTGTAGTTGGAGTTTGACCTATTGTTGAAGGAAGTGATAAAATTTCTGGTAGTGACAAAGATGTACCGGATGAGATATCTGAAGGGATATTTACTAAGTTTGGCTCATCTTGAGTGAAAGCTTGTGTCATCTAATATGGGAGAAGTTGCGTTGAAGTTGGGGTGCTAAATGGATTTTCACGAACTTGTTCAGATGTGGGGGTTGATCCCAAGTAATCCGATGGTATGTTTGGAGCACTTTGTTGTGAAAAAATTTGTACTGGTGGGGGGGTACTTTGAATTGTGTTAATGGAAAGGTCTAGAGGATTTGGTGATGGTGATGACGGTATAGTAATATGAACTCTGGGTGTTGTAAAATTTCTATTTCGTCTGGGAATGATTATTTGTCTATCTATTGCAAATGTTTGATTTTGGTTTTGACTAGGATGTCTTGTTCTATTAATGTCTTGTTGGAGAGAAGGTTAGATGTTGTATGTTGGTTTGTATTGCGGTTCGCTTAGAGGTGCATGGCGGACTAGGGGTATTAAAGTTTCTGATCGTAACGCCTGTTTTCTTCAAATGAATAGGGATGTTTTGAAATTAAATGCGTATTGATGACTGGGGTTTGTTTATTCGACTAGACATTGGTATTGTTGGAAGTTCCTGGGATGTCGTAGTCGGTGAGGATTGTTCTGTTGGTTGTTGATTAGCAATATTGAAATATTTGAATAATTCATTTTCTTATATTGTTTATATGATTCTTCTATGAAAAGAATTAAGAGGATTGTTACTAGTGAAAACGTGATTATTGCCTTTTTTACATATACATTTAGTAAAATTAGGGAAACTAGGAATATGACAAAAATAATTTAACGAAGAAAGATTTTTTCTTGTTCACTAAATGTTTCAACATTTAGACACTTGTTGAAATATCGTACCTGAGAAGGCGGTCCAGGATTTTTAAGAAGTTGAGGTAGGCTTTTGTGAGGGAAGAAAAAAATACAAAAAAAACTGCAAAAAAATTATGAGGAGGAAGAGGAAAGTTTTAAGGGTGTCTACGATAAAAATTTACTAAATTGAAAAAAAGTTGTGAAAAATGAAAAAAATTTCTGATATCACTATCTTGAGATGTCGAATGTTTGAGAGAGAAGCATTTGAGAAACGATTCGTTTCGTCGACTTTATTTTTGTTTTCCGAGTCAAAAGTTGAGTATGGTCGAATTGTTTATTGATTTTTGACAAGTGGGTTGGAAATGGGCAATTCCGCGAGAGGGCAAGTCTGAAGGTCCAGGAATGGGCTTCTTAGTTTTGATTTATTTAATCGCTGATTGGGGGTATTCAGTAGTTATATCTACTTTAGACTAAATTGTCATGTCGTATTTTTTCTTTAGGTTTTTTAAATATTTTTCCACAGGGGAAATGTGGAGTGTAAGTTGAGAAAGTATTGTTGATTTTTGATTTGGTTGATAGGGGAGGGGTTGTAACATTTAGAATTTGTTTATATCAGTTATCAAATAAAAGCTTGTTACTTATTTTTGGCCTGGAGGTCGTTAAGTTATAGTTTCAACTGTGTTTGAAGTGAGCAATGTGTCGGCTAATGAAGTGGTGTCACAATGGGGCGATATTTAAAAAATTCTGATAGGCTGAAACTGAACTAATATTTAAGAGTGTTAACATGAAATATGATAAAGAAAAGAAGATCTTTCTACGTTTAAGTTGTGTAAAACGATAAATTGATTGGAAAGGAATTCTGAAATTCAACTTTCTTTAATATTTTAGATTGTGTGATGACAGTTTCATATTTTTCCTTGGTTGACTTCAGAGCCGTGATGATTGTAATTGTTGATATTTTTCTTTTGCTTCTTGTGGATATGTTTTTTCCTCTAGTTTTGCGAAATTTTGTTTGTTTTTGAGGTAATTGTTTTTTACTGATTTTTTGAGATTTTGCTTGGGTTTCTAAATTTCTATACTTTTTGATTCCAATAATTGTGTCGAACAATTTATATCTTGATTTTGTTAGTGACAATCATCTCAGTTGTCGTGGACAACCTTTATTCCTGTAAAGGAGTATAAATGTGTTACCTCGCGAAGAACGTATTCTTTTGATTAATATGTTTAAAAATTATTTCGGTGTTGAACGATTTCTTTTTTATTTGAATCAATAAGTTTGTATGTTACATCAGTGGCTTCGTCAAAATTCTGAAATCGTTCTTTTCAGATTGGTTATAAATTTCTAGATATTCTTTTTTTTGTTACAAAGTTTGGTATTAGGACCTACATTTCAATTTTTAAGTTTGTAGCTGGTGTGAATCGTGAACTAAACTGTGATTGAATAATTTGTCGTTGTAATACGTTGTTGGCTTTTATTGATAAATTTCGTTGCGTTTTTTATCTTTATTTAAAATCCATTTCATAAGTGTTCCGGAGGCTAATTCTAGGATTTGCGGGTGATGAAAATGATCTTCATTGTGCGTATGTAACGGTAAATTATAACAAATTGATTCTGTAGTAGGTTGGCAATGAACTTGTGTTTTTTTTGAGGAATTTGCTGTGAACATTATTGGTTTCCGTGGTTTTTGTTTGAATGCCATTTCATAAGGTGGTAATCCTAGAGTTGTTGTTATCTGTGAGTTATAAGCTAAGTAGATCTTAAATAACCACGGAAAACAGCTTTTCAGATCTGAAATAACCCAGTCGTTACGTAAACGTGTTACAAACCTTTTCAGATCTGAAATTGAGATCTGAAAAAAGTAATTTCAGATCTCGGTTAGAACATTTTCTAGGTGCGGGTTATGAGCTGACAAACAGAAACTGGTTTGATTTTATGCTATTTTAGAGCAATTTTCAGGCAAGGTCTCTGCATTTTTGATTAAACTTGTGTAATTTTATGCTTTTTTTATTTGTTGCATGTTAACTGCTACTGAATGGGTAAGTGGAGTTGGAATTTGTTATAACTGACCTGCAAATCCAGTAGGTTCATGTTAACTGCTACTAGTAATAGAAGGATGAGGAGAAGTGGAAGGGGGCGGGGGTGGGTGACGACCTCATGTATTAACATAGGCGGTTGACTATCCGATCGTCACCCTATGTATTAACATGGGCTATAGACTTCCCAATGTATTAAGATAGGGAATATGTTTCCCAATGTATTCAGATAGTAGGTTTCAGATAGTAAAATGGTAACTTTCAAAAAAAAATTTTGGCGCACGAATTTTTTGAGGTCGATTTTGTCGATATTTGCGTTTCTTAGATGTTTTAGAGGTTTTGATTATTATTTTATAGGTTTGATTCAACGAGAAAACTATCTAAAGCTATACTGAAACCTAACGAAACTTCGATTAAAAAAATCATGTTCTTTATGGTAAATTAAGCGATGCTTTATGGTAAGATAGCTTGTAATCACTGAACTCTTGTAATTTTGCGAGACCAGATATGACTGTTTATTTGTTTTCAAAGTGCGCTTGGATTTGAAAATGTTTATTTTAATTAAATTCAAAATTTTTTTTTCCGGTTGGACTTACTTATTTTGCAATCTGGTGCCCGAGAAAAACCCACTATACTCTACTTGTCTTCTCATTTGCAATTCCAACACGACATAACTTGTGAAAAATTGTTTTGCATCTGATTTCGAAATAAACTGGCGTGCACCAACGTAGACTTGGTTGTAAGTAGCTTCCCTCTAGTAGTGATCGTGACAATTATCTACAACCACCACTGCCCACTAAATACCTACAACTACCACAGCTCAATAACTGGCTATGGCCAAAAGCTTGGGTCTGGAAACGTCTGGAAATAAAGTCGCATCGCATATCAGGATCCAAACCCAAAATACTTAATCGCGTCGAGATTTTGAGTCTGGAAAGTCTGGATATGAGCGGAGAAAGTAGAGCCGCGGGTCTCGAATGTCTCGAATTACCGAAATTTGGCCAAGAAAGTATGGAAAATGTGTATTTAGACTTTCAGGACCCATGTACAGACTTTCGTGACCAAATTGTGCAACTTTTGCAATCAAGGGTCCAGATAGCTAGCCAAGGCGCAATTTTGCTACCCGCAGCGCGACTTTCGCGAGTCATGCCCAGAGCGCTTAGACTCAAAGTCTCGGCGGACTATGCAAATTGGACCTGGATCCGGATGCGTCGCAATCTTCAAAGTCTGGAAATAAGTGTGGGAACTCGATCCGGGCAAGGAGTTGAGTTTTAAAAAAAGGTTAAAACTTGGACGATTAATGGGTACACGAGCTAGGCCAAGCCTGGCTTCTTTGGTTTGGCCAAAACTTCGCTCTGATAACCGCAAAATAGATCTAGTGTATACTGGTTTTCGCGGTATAGTTCTTGGAGTTTATCCAGAAGGAAAACAACTGTGGTCTAAGATTTATTCAAATTGTTCTGGTGCTGAAACTACATGTAGTTTCAGCACTTACAAATAAATGTCAATGTTAGAGATGGAATATAATTGCCTGTTAGTAGTATTTTATAGTGATCGTTTTATCAGTAAAATTATTGCATTTATATCTAAATGTAAATACTGGTTTAGTGTTGGTTCCATTGGTAAAACAGACAGAAAAAAAATTATAGGAATCATTTAAAACACACTTTCATTTGATTTGACAATTTTACGAATTTCCTGAACAATCTTGGATGTTCAAGTTAGAGATCTGTTTACGCTCGCTATTGAGTTTTTTCTTACACTACTCAAGTAACGCTCATCAGTTTTGTAATTCTAGTTTTTTTTGTACGATATTGCTTATGCAACCGTTGTCTTGCTTCAACTCTCGACTGCCTTTTAACTCGGCGGGCCTGAGGTAAGAAAATACAAAGAATGCCAACGCGTCTTTTTTAGCTAAAGTATTCTAGTTATTCGCAAAACTCTTAATGAGTTGACATTGGTGTGGTGGAAAGAAAGATAAGGATTACCTTTGTGAAGACACGAAAACGTGGAATGAATCAACTTGTGCAAGCGACTGATTCAAAAATCAACAAATTGTCGGACAAGGAAATTGGAGGTGGTTCAGTTTGTTCGTGAGATATGTGAGAGCAATTATCCACCAGAGACCTATTTTTGCAACCTTTATGGTAAATTAAGCGATGCTTTATGGTAAGGTAGCTTGTAATCACTGAACTGTTCTAATTTTGCGAGACCAGATATGACTGTTTATTTGTTTTCAAAGTGCGCTTGGATTTGAAAATGTTTATTTTAATCAAATTCAAAAATTTTTTTTCCGGTTGGACTTACTTATTTTGCAATCTGGTGCCCGAGAAAAACCCACTATACTCTACTTGTCTTCTCATTTGCAATTCCAACACGACATAACTTGTGAAAAATTGTTTTGCATCTGATTTCGAAATAAACTGGCGTGCACCAACGTAGACTTGGTTGTAAGTAGCTTCCCTCTAGTAGAGATCGTGACAATTATCTACAACCACCAATGCCCACTAAATACCTACAACTCCCACAGCTCAATAACTGGCTATGGCCAAAAGCTTGGGTCTGGAAACGTCTGGACATAAAGTCGCATCGCATATCAGGATCCAAACCCAAAATACTTAATCGCGTCGAGATTTTGAGTCTGGAAAGTCTGGATATGAGCGGAGAAAGTAGAGCCGCGGGTCTCGAATGTCTCGAATTACCGAAATTTGGCCAAGAAAGTATGGAAAATGTGTATTTAGACTTTCAGGACCCATGTACAGACTTTCGTGACCAAATTGTGCAACTTTTGCAATCAAGGGTCCAGATAGCTAGCCAAGGCGCAATTTTGCTACCCGCAGCGCGACTTTCGCGAGTCATGCCCAGAGCGCTTAGACTCAAAGTCTCGGCGGACTATGCAAATTGGACCTGGATCCGGATGCGTCGCAATCTTCAAAGTCTGGAAATAAGTGTGGGAACTCGATCCGGGCAAGGAGTTGAGTTTTAAAAAAAGGTTAAAACTTGGACGATTAATGGGTACACGAGCTAGGCCAAGCCTGGCTTCTTTGGTTTGGCCAAAACTTCGCTCTGATAACCGCAAAATAGATCTAGTGTATACTGGTTTTCGCGGTATAGTTCTTGGAGTTTATCCAGAAGGAAAACAACTGTGGTCTAAGATTTATTCAAATTGTTCTGGTGCTGAAACTACATGTAGTTTCAGCACTTACAAATAAATGTCAATGTTAGAGATGGAATATAATTGCCTGTTAGTAGTATTTTATAGTGATCGTTTTATCAGTAAAATTATTGCATTTATATCTAAATGTAAATACTGGTTTAGTGTTGGTTCCATTGGTAAAACAGACAGAAAAAAAATTATAGGAATCATTTAAAACACACTTTCATTTGATTTGACAATTTTACGAATTTCCTGAACAATCTTGGATGTTCAAGTTAGAGATCTGTTTACGCTCGCTATTGAGTTTTTTCTTACACTACTCAAGTAACGCTCATCAGTTTTGTAATTCTAGTTTTTTTTGTACGATATTGCTTATGCAACCGTTGTCTTGCTTCAACTCTCGACTGCCTTTTAACTCGGCGGGCCTGAGGTAAGAAAATACAAAGAATGCCAACGCGTCTTTTTTAGCTAAAGTATTCTAGTTATTCGCAAAACTCTTAATGAGTTGACATTGGTGTGGTGGAAAGAAAGATAAGGATTACCTTTGTGAAGACACGAAAACGTGGAATGAATCAACTTGTGCAAGCGACTGATTCAAAAATCAACAAATTGTCGGACAAGGAAATTGGAGGTGGTTCAGTTTGTTCGTGAGATATGTGAGAGCAATTATCCACCAGAGACCTATTTTTGCAACCTTTATGGTAAATTAAGCGATGCTTTATGGTAAGGTAGCTTGTAATCACTGAACTGTTCTAATTTTGCGAGACCAGATATGACTGTTTATTTGTTTTCAAAATTCGCTTGGATTTGAAAATGTTTATTTTATTCATATTCAAAATTTTTTTTCCGGTTTGACTTACTTATTTTGCAATCTGGTGCCCGAGAAAACCCACTATACTCTACTTGTCTTCTCATTTGCAATTCCAACACGACATAACTTGTGAAAAATTGTTTTGCATCTGATTTCAAAATAAACTGGCTTGCACCAACGTAGACTTGGTTGTAAGTAGTTTCCCTCTAGTAGAGATTGTGACAATTATCTACAACCACCACTGCCCACTAAATACCTACAACTACAAAAGCTCAATAACTGGCTATGGCCAAAAGCTTGGGTCTGGAAACGTCTGGACATAAAGTCGCATCGCATATCAGGATCCAAACCCAAAATCCTTAATCGCGTCGAGATTTTGAGTCTGGAAAGTCTGGATATGAGCCGAGAAAGTAGCGCCGCGGGTCGCGAATGTCTGGAATTACCGAAATTTCGTGACCAAATTGTGCGACTTTTGCAATCAAGGGTCCAGATGTTAGCTAGCCAAGGCGCAATTTTGCTACCCGCAGCGCGACTTTCGCGAGTCATGCCCAGAGCGCTTAGACTCAAAATCTCGGCGGACTATGCAAATTGGACCTGGGTCCGGATGCGTCGCAATCTTCAAAGTCTGGAAATAAGTGTGGGAACTCGACCCGGGCAAGGAGTTGAGTTAAAAAAAAAAGGTTAAAACTTGGACGATTAATGGGTACACGAGCTAGGCCAAGCCTGGTTTCTTTGGTTTGGCCAAACCTTCGCTCTGATAACCGCAAAATATGTCCCATTCGCTTCAACATAAATTAGCGCGGTCGGAGTTTTCTTTGATGTTTGGTTCAACCTGCCAAAATTCTCTGGAGCCCTAAGCTTAAGTTTTGAGAAAATTCAACTAAATTTCAACCGTTTAATAGTTGGAAACAAATTTTGCAACAAAGTTAGTCAGGGCGCGAGAATGAATCAAGGTTCTTGGTTTTGTGATTTTTACACCTTACCGTTAATTCAAGCTCGAATCATCAACATCAAAAATCCTTTCATCAAAATTCACTCATGCATTAGAACCGTTGTTTATTCAACCTTCACCCATGGTACCAACTGAGCCAAAAACAAAAAAACGTTTAAAAAGAGCGAAAATGATCATTTAAAGGGATCTGAACAACACGTGATAGTGAGTTTGGTCCGATGTGGTTAACTCATAGAGTAATTTCGGATAGGGTACACCGTCTGCTCGTCACGCTGTCTTATTTTCGGCCGGATAGATTCGTGCAACTTCTTAGTCTAATACCGATCCTAATCTTACTCTTATACTTTCTAGTCTCAGGGTGTTTAACTAGTCTCTGCTAGGCTCAATAGATCTAGGGTATACTGGTTTGTTGCGGCTGCTGAAGTTCTCTTAGAGAGACAACTAATTTCTAAGTTAAATTCAAATCTCTCTGGTGCTGAAATTACAAGTAATTTCAGCACTTACAAATAAGTGGGTTGTTAGTTAGATGGATCATGATTGGTTAATATTAAATACTTTACAGTGGTTAAATATCTAATTCATCCAATCATAAAATATAGTTTAGATCAGTTTCCACCCATCCGGTTTTTACAGAGTTTTTTGAATTATCTTTCTGCAATTCAAAGGATGGATGATGAACGTTGGTATTTGGCGAACATCATATTCTTGTCCGGTTCCTCTTGTTAAAGAAGTTCCAGGACGCTGGAGTTAGAGACATCAATCGTTGTGTCGTCTTCTGACAACGACTGTGTTTCCCAATGAAATCAATCTGATTTCAAAATGGTTTGTTATGACCGGTTTTTCTGTATTATGTAGAGAACTTGTTTTGTGTTCAACCTCGTCTGGGAATGGCGTGGAGATCGTGTGGAACGTATACTTGAACATCGAGGTGGTCATTGGTCTAGTTCAATGAAGTACTTTTCTGCGAAGTCAAGTCGTACTCTAAATCCTTTGAGTTGTGATTGTGGACGGCATATCGGTTGTGGTTAGCCATTCTTGTTCGAGTGTGATGGGATCATTTTGTCTTTGGATGTTCGTCTTTGTTGTTGTGTGTTGATCTATATACTGCAAGGTATGATTTACATTTTATAAAATTTTATTAGTTCGGATTTTTATTCATGAATTTAGTTAGTTGTTTTCACAAAAGCATTTTGTTTTAGTTCGGTTATTTTGAAGAGTTACTCACCCTTGAGTACCTCTTATTAAAAATAGAAGTGTGGTCACAAAGCGTGGATGTAGCGTGATGGGTTAGGCCGGCTATAGAGCATGATCAGGACGTCCTCTCTGGTGGGTTAGGCCAGGAGTGGGAGTATGATTTCGTGCGGTTTCTTTGAGAGGTCCTGTTATGTGATAACGTTTTATGTTGGGTTTATGTTGGTCTTTCTTATGTTTCTTTGGTTGTGTCCTTTTTTCAAAAATCAAATTGTTTTTGTTATGGGTTTGTCTTGCGACTTTTTTGTGTTTTATTATTTCTTTCTTAGACTTTATAATAGTCTTCAAAAGAATAAATTATCCAGTTTTAAACTGGGTTAGTCCGGTTTGGGTACCGTTGGTTTTCTTTTCTTAGTCATGCTGATATTTTATGATTTGTGTTGTTTAGTAAGCTTCGTTGGTTAGTTTGGTTTAGTATATAATTCCTTTCCAACCGGGTTAAAGGAAATTTTGAAACTTGTTATCGTGTGTTAGAGTTGTTGAGTGTGAAAACTTGAAACTTAAAATCATTATTTAAACAATTCTTCGTGGGCGAGCTGTGCGAGTTTGGATAGAATTCTTGTGCGAGTGAATGAAAATATCAAAAGGTTAGTACTGCATTTTCATTTTATCAATTTATTACAGAGAATTTCAATTTTACTGCTTTTTTGGGGGAAATTTAAAGTTATAAATTTTCATCGTAATTAAACTTACTGCTTTATGGGGAAATAATTTATAAATTAATTTACTACATTTGGTATGAATTTTATCATATTATCTTGTGTAAAATATTAATGAAGTTTAGAAGAATTTTAACAAGTTTATTTTTTATTTTTCTTTTCTGTTTTTTGCAGATGATCGTGGTATGAAGACTAGAAATGTAAAAGAAACATGAATAAAGAATGGTTAGTAATAATTTAATTTTATTAGTTAAGAATATTTTTAAATTATACTTACCTGTTAATCGTCTGGGAAAAAGCCGTGGGGGAAGATGTCGTGTATCATGTCCGATGTTGTTAGTAATTTTGCTAGTATGCTAATGATGTTTTTAGTTTGGAGCAGTGGCAAAGCAATTGAAGTGCTTTAATGGT